AGTGAGCTTAAGTTTTAAAAATATTAGAGAGTTCTTCCAACAAAAGTTTTGAGTTTCCGGTAAACTGCGTGACAATCACAGCAAATAATTATTAAATTAATTAAATCGAGTATTGAGAATTAAAGAATAACTGGCAATTGGCAACTGGCTTATATGGTAATGAAAAACAGAAATCTTGCATTTGTATTCGTAGATGTATATTTGTTGATTTTGCCGGATGTTTTACAATGGTTTAGAGTTTCAAATTAMCAAGATGTYGTCCGCTGCGTCAGGAGGAGTGGCCTGGAGAAGTTAATATTAACCAGAGGTCAAACGCTTTTACATTCAMTGCTTGTTGGACCTTGTTGGACAAGTCATAAAAACGTCTTATGGATCTTTTAAAGAAAAGTTACGCTTCGGTGGTATCATCATCAGATGAAGAGTCGCCACAGTCGAGCCCCCGTCCATTTGCCCACCTACAAACAGAATTAGATTGCGATGAAGCAATGGAACTGGCCATTGCCAGGTCGTTGGAGGTACAGTATAGCACTTTGTTTTAAGTTTTCAAGTTTCGCMATTGAAATTCCTATGCTGCTACTCTGCAATGGCCGTCAATGAGTACCATGCCTACATTCAACTTCACGTGAGGCATCACAGTTTTCTATTCATCTAAAATGGTCTAAATTCTTAATTCGCTCAGGGTAACAAAATACTCTACGATCGCAGAGTAGGTAACAAATCTAATCTAATTTTGAAAAATACACATACCTAGTTATAGTTTTGTTTTTAAATGTATGCCAAGAGCACTGATTTTCTCATTGGAGTAATGAGGAAATTTTACTGAGAGACTTTTGAAGTTTACTTCAATGAGGTATTAATAAATTACATATTTCTATACTTTATCAATACCAGAGTTYTTTTGATTAACAGTCTTCATTTCTTAAGGATGAAAGTGACGAGATGGAAGATGATGATCTTTTATCCCCTGCACCTGGATTTCACCAGGTAAATTAATAAAACTTAACATGGCATAATTCATTAAGGTCTGAGGAAAGACACAGGGCTCAAAAAAATCCTCGACTTTTTCGCGCTCAGTTGTTTTATTTTGGTAAAAGTTTGTAAATCTTCATAACATTGTTTTCTTATGAGAAAAATGATCAAGAACGTCATAAATTCGCGGGCAAATTTGATGCTTTGTTTGTGAAACACGAGATAAAGTCTTCACAGCGTGATCGTTTCAGAGGTCAAACTATCAAGCGTACACTACCTGGAACATGCGAGT